GGGGGGGCCCGCAAACAAAAAAAAAAAAAAAAAAAAAAAAAAAAGAAATGCATTCGATTTCACGACCCAATCTCCCCCATATACAACAGTATCAAAAATAATACCCTTGGGACTTCCCCGTTGGTCCAATGGTTAAGACTCCATGCTTCCACTGCAGGGGGTATGCGTTTGATCTCTGATTGGGAAACTAAGATCTCACATGCCTCACAGTGCAGCCAAAAAAAGAAAACAAAAACAAAAACAAACCCCTCACCACATGAAATCTATTGACATTTTCTACTGTTTTACTCTTAGTTTTCCTAACAGTGGCTGTGGCCCACGAAACTGATTTCGTAGCCTGATGAACGCACTGAGTCCTGTAGTTTGAAATACACTTTAATTCACTAGAGGCTGGAAGACAGAGCCATCTAGAGATTTCAACAGACCACCTACACCCAAGCCCAGGCCTTCCAAGTGTGGCCTCAACTGTGTCTCTGTGAACTCAGGGGTGAGCATTCCAACAGCTGCTTCAGGAGAAAGCTAACTACCAACAGATCAGTTCTAGTTAGAGCAAAAACCACTCTGAGAAACAACACAAACTCTACTGATTCATACCCCATTCCAGAGGAAAGCACACCTAAGGGAGTTCATTCTGCTTCCTCTGGATTCACAAACCAGAAAAATTTCTAGTCCATGAAGATGAGAAGTTCCCTTTAAGAAACTAATTTCCTGAGCTTCTAACATAACATGGTTTTGCAAACTTGAGGCAATAGTTCATTTCTTTAATAGCTATTCCATGGGGGAATGAATAACCAGGCTTTGACTCTGAAACACAGAGAAGGCCTGATCAGATCACTAAGGAGTCTCGCCCCAATCAGAGGCAAGACTACGGTCCTCATAACAAGGCTGATGAAAAACAGAACCATGATGTGAAAAATTTGTATCTCAAGACTGCGGGATACCCTGAGAAGCCAAGTTCTATTGTTGCAAACTGGAAACTCTCAGCGGTGGCTTCCTTTTCAGAATCTAATCACCCAGCCATTCTGGGTTAGCCTTCGCACAAGACAGTTTTTCTGGAAGGTCACAATCTTGTTTCTGCAGTAGAAGTTCAAAATGTGCCTGCGGTCCTCCACCTTCTGAGATGCTGCTTTAGAGAGAGTAGAGGGATAAAAAAAGGTGCGATCCTGCAATACCACAGAGTACGGGGAGAGGGGCCGTCGGCAAAAGAGGTTTCAACGAATTTCCAGGGCAAGAAGGCAGGGTGCCGACACCTCCCTCTGAAAGCAGAGACTCCACCAGGGCAGGGGCCTTGCATGCCTGACACTGCCGTGTTCACAGCACCCAGCACAGTGCCTGGCACCCAAAGGTTCTGAATATATATTTGTCCCCAGGCAAAAACAAAGGAGCTGGACCGACACGCGGAGAGCAAGCATGGGAGAGGGTGCCCAGGGCAGAGCCTCGATTCCTATATTTGGGAGGCCTGGTACTGCCCTGTGGAGAGCAGACTTATGCCCCAGGCCCGTCCCCACACTTG